TTTTTTTTTTTTTTTTTTTTTTTTTTTTTTTTTTTTTGAGTGTGTGTTTTTTATTTGGAAAATAGCTGGTTAATCAGTCTATTAGATTATGAAAGACAAAATAATTCAAATAAAAAGAGTAAAATCATTATTTTTATTTTTCCACSTTTTCTAATTTCAACCGATTTTTTCTCATTTTTCTTAAACTTTTCTCCCCCAGTTCGTTCAGTGAAAGACGGAAGGTGACCATGCACTGCTAACACAGTAAAAGACTTCAAGACTTCCTAGATCTCTATATACATATTTAAAACCGGGTTTCAAAACGCACTTAAATTGGAATGGAAATTAGGAGGCTTATAGGGTCATATACAATATCCAACCTAAACCCTCATTGGCTAAAATTTTTCATTTATATTGTCAATGCAAAAACATGTCATATGAAAAACCAGCTGTCAGATCATTTGAGAACGCATTACGAAGATTATTCATCACATTCTGTGGTAACCAATATTCAATATTTTCAAAGCTCAGTTATTTTTACTCTGACTCCTTATTAGAATCGCTTCAACGCCTTTGAGAGGTTTATTTACAGATTTTTAAGATGGAGTTGGACGACGAGTCAGTGAGGAAAGCTTTACTACCAATGAAGAAGGCTTACGAAGAAATTGATGACAAGGTCCTACAAACTTCAAAAACTTACCAGGGTGTTATTGAAGAAATTCACGAAGTTGCAGAAAATCTAGTTGTTTCGATCCGCAAACGCGAAGCAGTTTTAATAGAGAAAGCTTCTGAAATGTCTGTTCTTGATTTGCGGGAGTTAAATAATAAGAAAAATGCTTTAGCAGCACGGATTGAAGAAATAGAAAATTTACTGAATTACAGCGAAAGCTTGGTAACAGAGGAGGAACGAGATACGAAGATAGACGACAAAAAGGAGTGGGAATCCGCCATAAAAGCGAAAATGGAACAGTTATGTGAGTTCAAGAATTCRTTTGACAAGCCTGAAAAAGCCTCGGAATCGATCAAATTTAAAAGTCTGTTTGTAGACCCAAAAATAATGGTCGCATTTTGTAATTACGGGGACGTAAGCACCAGTTATGGGATCAAGGATGAAGAGAGCAAAGATGATACTCGGGTAGAGAATTTGATTGACTTTGATGAGAATGATAACATACTAAATGACTTAGAGAATAAACCGAGTAAGGAAGACGAAGCGAGTTACGAAGCTATTCCGTATCTATGAACAACTCCGCAGGATATCAATGCCATTTGACGTCAAACTTTCTTAATTACAGTGTTTAGATCATCAGCTATCTTATTGTCGAAGAAGACTCTTGTTTTAGCGAGCATTGTGTACTTTAGCAATTCATTAATATTCAACACCATTGTTTTTAACTTTTTAAGCATACACAATCGTTTTATTCGCACGGCTACTTCTTAATAGAGCCTTGAAAACACTTGAAGATTTAAAAGAGACTGGTTCACTTACGCCGTTAGTTTAGCGTCAGTTTTCTGTGTTTCGAAAACACTGTCTTGAATATTTTGAATAGGTCATTAAAAGGTCATTAAACTGGTGGAAAAGTTCTACATTAATTAATTTTCATTTTTCTTCTGTGTTTTGGATTTTATAATTTTAGTGCTTCCCGGCGTTTTGTTTATATAATTGACGACTCCCGAAACTYGGTCACTTGTTAGGACCACGACAAGATTTGACTGCCTCTTTTTCCTCATGCATGTTTGCATGAATTGGAACGTGCCTCTATCTGCATTGCTGACTTCTCCTCTAATGTAAACATGAAATACCTCTAGGCAGCTCACTAACTCACGCTAACTCAGTCGTCCATAATTTTATTAATGAACGCTTTGCTTTCAACTAACCCTTTCTTTTGTCTTTTGATTGTTTGTTTTKGTTTCCTTGCCTACCTTGTTCCTATTGGTTTCTTTTGTCTTATTCTATCATATAAACACTCCTTTSTACCACCTCTTTCTCTATTACTCCAAAGGACGAAGGACTAGCGTCCGAAACGTCAGTAAGTTTTTTCATCTTTTCACGGTGTATAATTTACCTTTTTATCATTACTGTTTCATTAGAAACACCGACGCAGCTCACACTAGTTTTTAGCTAGTTATCTTGTCCATAATGAGTTACTTAGTCGATCCCCTCCAGCATTGAGAYTTTTTCCTGCCTCAGCCTTTAACTCAGCCGCTCCTCTGCACCTTCAACCCTGTCTTTCTTTTTTATACTTGATCATGACTCTACACGCTTCTGCCTCCGTCCTCTAGTCTACTCCGCCTCTCAAGTCTGCCTCCTTCTTGCCCTTGATCCATCACTGCCTCTAACTGTCCTCGGCTTTCTGCCGTCTAAGCCTTTGCTACGGACTTTGCTACGCACGCCCCGTCTTCAAACACGTACTTCTCTCGTGTTTGCTTCCGATCACCGCGTGTTTTGTAACTCCACAAAGCACATACACGCGTTTCCAACGTACGTATGAAAACCACCGGCCGAGTCATATTGAAACCCACTGCTTCAATTRACAATGCATGCTAATGCTGAGGAAAAAGCGCTTAGCTTATGATAGTAAAATTACTAATATCCTAAAGCATTTGAATTCAAAGAAAAAGCTGTACTTGCCGCAGGGATTCACCAA